TGAAAATATTTTGTTTCTTTTTTAAATATCTTTGGTAACCTGAAAGAAGAAAAATAGGAGTGGTGATTTCTCTATGATTTATAGCGATTTTAAACGTAAAGTAGAAAGCAACGTCACTGACAAAATAATATGAACTAATTGTCTATTTAAAGGTCTTTAACATCTTTATTTCCCCCACTGATTCCAGGGTGAAAACAACCTGGGAGCTGCTCCTCTTCCCCATATCAATGATTTCACTTCACCTTCAGCTTCGGTGGCTGAGGGATTGAAGTAGTATTTTCTAGAAAGCTTTGTCAGATTTCCTTCTTCCCATGGATACTTCAATGCTCAAGGGCTTTTTTGTGCCTATAGGAATATTCCCTACTCTTTCTACTTTGTATATAGTCCAATATATTAATCTTACGAATTATCAAACATGTAGCATTCCTTCAAACATCAAATAGCAAACATTCCTCAGTGGTTAAGGTGTGGTTCCCAAACCAGCAGCATAGCAGTATCTGGGAGTTTGTTAGAAATGCATTCTTTTGGGCCCCAACCCAGACCTACTGATCAGAAACACAACCAGCTGTGTTCAAAAAAGCCCTCCTGGTGATTCTGAAGCATGTTCAAGTTTCAGAATGACTGCTTGAAACATTCACATGCTACTTATACAACCAACACATCAAATACATATCAAATAAACAAAACAAGTCTCCTCCCCCATTCAAACCCTGATTGCAAACTTAACCAAATGCTTTTAAACATTTAACTTAAATCACAAGCCTAGCATTTCAGATTTCCTGAATGCTCTAAACGTTTTAAAAAAAAGGAAACAATGCACATAAAATGCCCCATTGATTACAGAGCAGATTAATAATTTAACAACAAAACTTGGCACAATATTATTAATATAAGAGATTAATTTGTTTTACAGTCTTATCCCTACTTTTATTCTTGTCATTACATGGTCCTGGAATTTAGACTTCTATACACTGCTGGGTTGTGAGGATTTCTCCAAAAGACTATACCTTTTCAGGGTTTATGTATGTCATTTTAGCAGACTGGAAAGGAAAAAATATGTCATCTCAGGAGGCTAGGGATGAAGGTTAAGTGGATTGCTGACCACTTATTTTGGTTGGGTTTTGGGAACTGGTTGCTAAGTTAAAGATGAATTAAAGTCAAGCTGCTGCCCACTGCGTTGAATATATTTTTGTCACACAGTTTTCATTTTTTATCATGGGATCTCTATTGGTTTCCTTCTATTTTAACAAGTTACCACAAATTTAGTGACTTAAAACAACACAAATTAATTTTCTTACACTTCTGGAGGTCAGAGGTCTAAGATGAGTCCTCAGCACTGTGTTCCTTTTGGAAGAATCAAATTTCTTGGTCTTCCTCGTCTCCAGAGGCTGCCTAGACCCTTTGGCTCATGGCTCCCTTCCTCCCTCTTCAAAGCCGGCAGCATGGCTACTGTCTTCTCTGGCTTCTGACCTCCTGCCTTTCTCTCATAAGAACCCTTGTCATTCTATCAGGCCCGGCCCAGGAGTGTTTCCTGATCTCAAGATCCTTAATTTCATCCCATCTGCAAAATTCCATTTGCCACGTAAGGTAACATAGTCACAGGTTCTGGGTATTAGGACATGAACATCTTTGGGAAGCCATTATTCTGTCTACCAGAGGATCCATATTTCTTTTTTCATACAAATTCTGATTTTTTAAAACAAATTGATAGATGAGGTATTCTGTAAGTTTCATTTATTTTTAATCTCTGGTAGTTCATTACCCTTTGTAATAGTTTCATGATATATTTTTAACCTCGCCTGGTTTCAAAATTTTAAAACATGTGGTTTTTTATTGGCATTTAAAAAAAAATAATTAGTTGGGTCATCAACAGGTTTCATTCCGAGACAGGAAAGTGAGTCTGAAAATTTAGGTTTCTTCTTCAGGACAGCTAAATTATTATTTCAGAATACACAGTTATATTGTCCTCCTAATTGGAAATTATATATTGCTAACTAGTACTAATTAACTGCTGGACTCCTACTTCACTTTATATAAGACTGCACATGCTAATGAGAACTGTCTGTATTACAGATTTTACTATTTCTAGTATGATTATGAAAAGTTTTGTTAATCCTTTGTGGTTTACACACATTAAAAGTACATATCTATACTTTATGAGCTGAAATATACTTAAAACCCCACAAAGTTTCTATCTGTATCAATAGCTATATATAAGCACTTTATTATTTAAGTAAGTAAATTTAAATGTACATGGTGATAGTCAACCTTTGGTATTACAATTATATTTTTGTACATTTTCTTTATATAACTCTTTTCTTATGAGCAGCATGGCCCTTTACAAGCACAACTTGTTTTATTTAGAGACTTTTATTACCATAAATGATCAAATGACACATGGGAGCTCTAAGTCGGCTCTTTTTCTTTTCAGCACTGCCCCTGCCATTTTTAAAGTCACTGTTGCTCTCAGGCAATACCCGTGTATTACAGATCTATAGTGATTTTGTCCTGCCCAACGACATGGAATTGCCTATCTGCTAATGATTTCTGGTTTCTTTTTCTTTAGTATAGAACAATATTAAGACCAAAATCTGGGTACTAGGGATGTTTACAAAAGTACCAAGGGGGGGAAAACATTGTAGCTCCTGCTACCACCATGGGACTGCTCTGGGTATTGACTGAGTGTAAAGGACAATACTTCTTTTATAAGTATATGAGATCTCGTTCTTTCCAGTATAACATAGAATGTTGCTATCCCTTCCTTTTTTTATAATATGGGATTTCAGCAACTAAGACTTACTCCACATCAATACATTGCTCTATCCAGCCCCAGAGTATCCTACTCTCTTCCCTTCTCCTCTCTCTCTATTTTCCAGGATGATGGTTCTCAGCCTTGTCTTCACATTGGAATAGCTTTGGATGCTTTAAAAATATTGATGTGAACCCCCCACCATAGCTTCTGATTTAACCTTCCAAAGGGCAGAATATGGCCTCAGGATTTTTTATAACTCTATAGGTGATACTCCATAGGTGATGTGCAGCCCAGGTCGAGAACCTCTGTTCTAGGAGGTGTTGGGCAACCTCAGTAAAGCAGACTGGGCACTCTTCCATCAGAGTATACCATAGAGGATCCAGGGATACCAGGTCCACATTACAGACAGGGAAAGCCAATGCATGCTTGCCTTTTGGCTGCTTTGCTCCAAGAGTTCTTAGGATTGCTCGAGGGAGGGAACCACAACTGTGCTCTTTCAATCTTCTTGAAAGGCTCCCATGTATAGGGCATTGACTTCTCTAATTGCTCTTCTAGCATCTTCCTTTTTCTGCCTCATCTTTCTTCATTCTTTCCTAACCGTGCTCTAATTACTTCAAGGTTTTCAAAAGCCTTGGTTTTCTCACCCATGAGGTTAAGATAACATTTACATGTGATACCCATGAAATCTAACAAAACTCAAAAACACATAAAGTTCATGAAAACCAAGTTGGCAGCCCATTATGGATAAAGTGAAGGCTCCTCTGGCCAGGATCCTTACCTGAACCTAAACTACTTGATGATGTAACTGGCCTGCTGCTAGGCTACTGCATCCATACCCATGGGCAATAAGCTATTATTGACTAAGTCACTATATTAAGAGCTCTGCCCAGTGCTCTGGGTGGAGGCAGAGACTGAGGAGGATTACAGACCTGCAGACTGCTGGATGCAGATGTAATTCTAGTCCTCGACCTATCGCAGGGGAGAACAAGCCCGGTAATAAGCCCTTTCACCCCAAGAATGTTCCATTGTCACTCCTTGGTCTCACTGAAACCATAGTGAACTTGCCCGGGGTTGGAACCCATTGGCAAGACAGTCATTCACTCCTTTTTTGGTTTTAAGATGTCCTTTATTTTATTAAATGAAGATATTTACATATTATATGAGTTTGCTTGTTTCTCATGCCCTTAATTTGCTAAACCAAAAGTTGGGAATCTATGTTGAACTCATGGCCATGAGTTGATTTGTCTTGCTTTCCTGGTGGATTTTTTGTGTTGTACTTCGTTGAGCACTTTCTGTCTTTCAGAGATGCTGATAGCTATGTGGAGTGCAGGGGCAAGGGTTGAATGCCTTCTCAGGTTAACCCCTTCAGGAGTCATTGCTCTCTGTGTCAATTCAAATTCACTGAGAAACAGATTCCAAGATGGAATTTGACATGCAAGAAATTAATTGGGAGGTTAAACAACTGTGAAGGACTAAGGCAAGAGGAAACAGGAAGAGGAGGGAAGAACCTTAGTTCTCTAGTAAAAGGAGAGGAGGAAGAAAAGAGAAGGGATGGAAAAGCCTCAGACTGTAGCAGAGCTCTGAGAAAGTCTCATCTGGCTAGGTCAGTGAGAATCCCCAAAGACTGCCCATCAGAGAATCAGAGTGGCCTAGCTATGATGCCCTCACTGATCTCAGTCATTGGTGGGAAGAGCCTTGGGAGAGTGTGGCCTTGGTAGGAATTCTGCAGTGGATCCTCAAGGGCAGGTGCATCAGCTGGGGGCTGTCAGCTAATAGCACTCCACCCAGAAGAGTCTCTCTTACAAGGCAATCTTTGTGTGTGCCTACATGGCTGCCACACTGATAATTCCAATGTTATAGTGAAAATGGTTGTTTGTCTATGGGATGATGCAAAAGAAAATTAGCCATATGCCAGGTCATTAATGCTTCTCTGTATATCTTGTTTTTGGTCTTGTCCCTTTTAACTTTACTGGCTGCTGCTTACCAATTATATTTCATCTTCATGACTCCAGGCCCACAGCTGATTTCTTAACTCTTTAAAAAAGAGTAAAATCAGTGGCCACTGGAAATAGCATCTGACTTCTGTAATGACTATATGTTTAGTGTTAGTTTTTAAATCTGTCATGTTTTAAGTTGTGACTTAAGAAATGCTAATGATTAGAATTTTCACTATTACTATTTAAGATGTACTAAAGAAGGAACTATTAAGCATAATTAACTTAGATTATCTTTTTTTGGTTTGCTGCAGTGTGTTGTCTAGCATGACAGATGCAGTGTTGGCTCGAGTGTATAAACAATCAGATCTGGACATCCTGGCTAAAGAAGCAACCATCCCAATCATCAATGGGCTGTCAGATTTGTACCATCCTATCCAGATCCTGGCTGATTATCTCACACTCCAGGTTGGCTTATTGCTTTGCCTTTCAGAAGAGCAATTCAATAAATAGTTCCTGACTAGCTCTAAATGGAACCATTTAAATCATGGTATTGGTGTTTTGTTTTCAAATATCATCTTGGCAAGAATTACAGCAGTTGCCTACATGTAATTAGCTATCCAAGGGAGACAGGGCATTGTTAACAACAAATTAAAAGATCTTTCTGTTCTCAGCCCTGTTCCCAACCTCTTTTTAGCCCCTCTCTCACCCCTGTTCTTTCAATCATTTCCTTTTTGGTGTCATATTTAACACAATGGATCAACAGGGAATGCTGGAGTACACAGAAGGGAAAAGCCTTGTTTAATCCTACATACATCAGGCTTTGGGGCTTAGGAGTGAGGACTGGTGGAATATTCAAAATAGTCCATTACTAAGTCACCTTCTGAGAAGAAGGCCGCTTTCTATCATTTTTATAAACTAATTGTTTAAGACTGGAGTTAAGAACATGCAGAATGCATAGAATCAAAGCTCAAATGTAGCCATGTCCTCCCAAGTGAGTATCTTGAAGAACTTTGAAAGATTCATTTTGTTTGGCTTGCCACAGCCAGTCTACATGGTCTTGCTACTGGGAATGCTGACAACCATGGTTTCTGTGTCTATGGATTATTCTGGAGAGACAGGGCAACTGGATGGGAACATATTCCTCCTCATTTGAATAAGCTACACAAATATGAATGTGAGGTTAAGTTCAAATGAAACTTTGGTGATGAGGATAACATTCATACAGAGAGGATGACATCATGATGTTAGATACCGAGTAGCTGTTCGCAGGTGTGCCTTTACATATATGCCAGATAATTTAATGCTTCCCTCTGGGGTTTCACCATTACTACATTACAAATTCACGGAGGAACAGTGAAATTCATCATATTGTCTCCTGCAGGACCTGGTGCAATGCCTTCACATAGGAGATACATAGGAGTTGAATGAATAAATAGCTTATTAAGAGTGTGGACTCTAAATCAGATGGACTTGGGTTAGAATCCTAGTTTGACCGCCCAGTTCTATGATCTCCAAATTGCTTTGCTTTTCTCTTTTTTTTATCTTATCTTTATAATATATAAATATATAAAATATATGAAACCTACAGACACTTGAAGGAAAATAAAACACCTGTATGCTCAATACACAGTTTTGTCAAATCTTATTTTAGAATTTTTTGTTTTCAAATAAAATATTACAGATGGGGTTGAAGCCCTTTATGTAACTTAACCTGATCCTATTTTCTCCCACCCCACAAAGAAATTATTATCCTGATGTTTGTATTTACAATTCCCAGGCACATGTTTATAGTTTAACTACATACATTTATATCCATGAACAACCAAGAATATTAATCGGAATGTTTTTCAGCTTTATGTAAATGGGAACATACTCAGCCAGCATGCTACACTGTTTCAGGTGCACTGTATTCCCCTTTCTCATGCTAACAAATGTATGCTCCATTAAGGCTGTGCCTTTTTGTCTCCATTATGCATTGTTGTATCTCCAGGGCCAAGGGAAGTGGACATTGATGGTGCTCAGTTTGTTGAATGAATGAATGAATTCAACAAAGATTCAGAATTGAAATGTATGAAAATAAGAAGCTCCCTATGAGTTCATATGGTGTCTTGATTTAAGATAGTAGTGTATTTCGTTGTTTTTTGTGGTTGTACACTCACGTTATCAAATCACTGTCTGATGAAAAACGAACTAGTAGTTTATCCATTCCAACAAAGCATTAAAATTCAGGTGAAGACTGTTTCCTTTCTTTAAACCCTAATTATTGTCTCAAGCAAGTTGATTTCCTCCTGCATCTCCTCTCCCCTATCCCTTGCCCTTTAGGAACACTATGGCTCTTTGAAGGGCCTCACTCTTAGCTGGATTGGAGATGGGAACAACATCCTTCACTCCATTATGATGAGTGCGGCAAAATTCGGGATGCACCTCCAAGCGGCTACTCCAAAGGTAGGGAAACTTTCTGCCTTGAAACTAACCCCCTCTCAAATCATCCCTAGATACAATTACCCAGTGAAAGCAAACCTGTCTTCCATTCAAGGACAGCACCTCAAAGTTTGAGGTGAAGCCTCAAACTTTAGGTTCTGTTACCAGCCTTACTGTTAAAGCTATCTAGCCTCTTGAATGCCCAATTTCCCATCTCTATAACAGGAGATAGTCTTGGCTGATGGCTTTCATCTTGTGAGTCTGTGTTAAAAGCATGTCTAAATTATCCCTTTGAATGTCCTGAAACCCACCATTATAATGACTGGCATTCTTGTGCATTATTACCACAAAGTCTGAAGCAAGCAGTGAAATCCAGGCCCCACGGAATTTCCAAGGCATAGGGAGGATGCTTTGATTTTTGGAATACTCCAGTTTAGTAGAAAAAATGTCAATCTAATGTGAAGGTCACAGTAATGGCATCTATACCACGTTAGGGTTTCAAAACCCAATTGCAGGGGCCTCTCAACTTTTTAAATCTGAGTCCTACATGGCTGTGAAGATGTCCCCCACATACTTCCTACCCTACTGCTAATTTCTCACAGAATGAAGAAACATGACTTCTTTCATAGGTCCAAAATAACCCTTTTGATAAACAAGAAACTAGTAAATGTTGTTGCCTCTGAGAAGTTCAAGGATAGAGGTAGGAGGGAGGCTTAATTTTCACAGTGTATCCTTTTATATGGTCTCAGTTTCTTAACATGTCAATGTTTCACCTACATAATAACATTAACCCATAAGTAAATACACCAAAATCAAAAAGTGCAGATCACCCTTGTCCTATGTTAAGATACTACCAGTTTCACACAAAACAAAGAGGCCTTTTAAAGGATAAAAATTAACCCTATTAGAGATGCGTATGCAAACCATTCCTGAAGGATCTCCACAGAATCTTTTAAATATTCCATCTCTACTGAATTGTTTTGATTTCCTTCCTCATTGGCTACTAATATCCTATCAGGAGTCTTTGAAGGGAAAACTCCCTTGAAAAGAAACTGTTTAGAACAAAGTAAAAGAGAGAATTGACCTTCTCAGACAGACCATTCACAATTACTGTGCATCAGTGTGTTTCTGACCAACCACCCACTTGCTGTTATGTCTATAATCATGCTGTGGTTCATTCTGACAAGCTAAGGCAACCAGAGGTGAATATGTGAGGGCTAAAAATTCCTCCTTGCTTCTGCTTCTTGAGTTGGAGATGTTTATTTGCCAATCACTGGGCACATGAATTATACAAGGTGCATTAAAAGATAAATTTCTCCCATAGGAAATATCTAACTCCTTAAGGTTTTCATTCACTCTTCCCCACCCACCCCACCAGTGTCTTGGGCCAGGTACCCCACAAGGAGAGCCCCAGATGAGGATTTGTGTACAGATAACTTTCTAGGGAAGTACTCCTAAGGGAGATCTGTAGGAGTATAGGGGAACAGGCCAGAGAAAGGGAAGAATCTAAGCAAGTGCCATTTACAGTGATTGACCATCCCAGTTTGCTTCAGACTGAAGGACTTCCAGGAAAATGGGACTATAGGCAGGCACACAAGGATGATTTGGTCATCCTAGTGCTGTGTCAGGCACAGTCCCACAGAAGGGAGCTTCAGCCTGATCCCCCAGGTGAGCTCTGGAGTGTAAGTTATGCCCCGGAGTTGTCCCAAGCTGAGGCAAGGAAGGTGGGCTTTCATCCTTTGAAGCAGGCATTGGTCAAGGGCAATGAGGAGAGGTGTGATGGTAAATCCCCTGGCACTTCCAGTAGGAAAAGCAGCCAGGGAGCCAGAGGGCCATCTTCAGAAGAAGAGCTGCAAGTGCTAGGTGTGAAAAGCACAATAAAATGCAGAGAGGGAGCAAGAGAACAAAAATTGTCCAAAGGGGTCATTCTGACAGTGCGTGACAGAGCACTGGCCTTGTCGGCTGCCTTTCCCTAGTGTTCTTGCTGAACCAGTTTGAGTCAATGCACCCTGCTGCCTTAGTTTGCAGGAGCTGCCTTAACAAATTACCACAATCTGGTGGCTTAAAATAACAGAAAATTATTGTCTCACAGTTCTGGAGATTAGAAGTCCAAGATCAAGGTGTTGGCAGGGCCATGCTCTCTCTGCAGCCTCTAGGAGAGGATCTTCCCCCTGCCCCATCCCAACTGCTTCTGGCTGCCCCAGGTGTTCCTTGGCTTGTGGCTAATATCACTCCAATCTGCCTTCATCTTCTTACCATTTTATTTGTGTTTCTCTGTACAAATGTCCCTCCTCTTAGAGGACACTAGTCATACTATATTTAGACCCATCTTAACTGACTATGACCTCATCTTAACTAAGTACATCTGCAAAGACCCTACTTCTGTATAAGGTCACATGCTGACCTTCTGGTTGGGAATGAATTTTTATAGGACACTATTCTACCTATACTTGTCATACAAGAAATGGCAGGCACAAGCAATAGCACATATTGGAAGCCACCCTATTGTAGTAAACTTTGGGGACTCAGAGAGATAACTCTGACAACAGATAATTCTTTCATTCAGCATGAACTGAAATAAAGGGTCAGATCGGACATTGGCTTAAGGATGTTCTTCTTCAGTTTATGGGAAGACTTCATACACTGTCATTACAAATCCATTTGGAGGAAAGACTCTATATTAATACAAACTATTATTGCCTTTAGTTTTTACAGATAAAACATACATTTACAATCATTGTTCCCTGCAATATGATGTTTTTGGAAAGGCTTTATTCTGTTGGAGAAATATATGACTTACATTTTGTTGCATGTCAACGATGTTTTATTAGGATCAAAGGAAAAAATTCCAATATTACTGAGTAATTTCAGTATTGTTCTTATGCAGAAACTCATTTAAATGATAGAGTACTAAAACTTGGTTAAATGTTGTGGGAGTAAGAGTTTTAAAAAGTCTTCGGGAAAGTCTGATAGTGCAGAAGTTGTTCCATCCATTTATAAGTAGGTCTATTACCTTTAAAGATAAAGCTAGGGAATTTATTATAAATTTAAGAGGCCCTGAAAAGTTTCCAAGGCCATAATTAATCTATTTCCCCATTCTTCAACTGAGAAAAACTTCCATATTCAAGAAAACATAATTTTGTCCTTGAGTGTAAAATTGCTCTATAAACTATTGATGGTAATGATTTTAACATTTTTCTAAGTGAATATTTAGACTGACCTGGGTTTGTTAATCACCTTCTTCATCTGGTTTTAAGATTTATGTAAAAGCCAATGAGTCATTTAGTATTGGAAGCTGATCTGTGAGTAAAGAATTCCTGTTTGTATTCTCAGTCATGGTACATTGCATGCAAGGTTGGGTGATTTTCTAATTTCCAAACCTCTCTGTTGGTTCTCTAATTATTTATTGATTCCTTCTCTAAGAATAATTATATTAGGGAGTATAAAACCTACTCCTTTACTAAAGGGAAGGCTAAATTTTTATGGCAGGGGGCACATAGAGTAACAGCAAAGTCTCTTCATTTATGTTTACCAGTATGAATAGGCACAATATTAGTTACTAAATTAGCAAGGCTTTATTAAGTTTCCCAAATCCCGATAAACAAAGCTCCAGAACTGACGGCTCTTTGAGGGTGGTCAAGGCACTAAAATATCTGTGGCCATCATCATCACCATTTGAATGATTCCTTTCCTCGAAAATTTTGTAATGAGAGAAGAAACTACAGGAGACAATCATGTGCAAATAAACACAGTTTCAAATGAACAAACCTGAACATGGCTGTCATGGGCTAAGCATTCTGGAAAGCAGACTCCGAGACAGAGTTCAGCGTGCAGCATGTGCAGGGTATTTACAGGGCAGGTCCTTGAGATCCACACCTGCAGAAGGGGGGGAAGGAAGAAGGACTGGGACAAGGGAGAAGCCAAGCTGCCATGCAGGCCCAACAACAGCCTCGGCAGACCATACAGAGAGTTCTAGATCTAAAATGGCCATTCAGAGCTGTCCAGAGCTGGGAGAAGAGAGTCAAGTTTTCATACCCTGCTGTCAATTAGTCATTGAATATGGGTCACCCTGGAAGGGTATGTCACCTTGGATGAGTCAGCTCTCTGCCACCGAGGCAGTGCCCAAAGAGGGCTGACAGCTGAAAGCCATCTCCTGGCAGCACGCCCAGCAGCTAGGGGAATAAGTCCTTTATTCATGAAGGGGGATTTGGGTGGCATATCACAGCATCCACCACAATGCCCTACCAAGAATATATAAAAACCAACTCATCATAAATGCTAAGAATTCAGGAAAATGAGAAGGATGGACGAAGGTGAGAATAATCATGGTGTTTGAACAGACAAGACATCCATATGGAGGGTCTAGAGGTGGGGCTGGGATAGGGTTTTGACAAAGAAGGAGCTGACATGCTCTGATGAAGACACCCAGGAAGGGACAAGGGGGAGGCGTTCAAGGGTGGAAGGCTGTGATGGCAGAAAAGGGCAAGATGTGCAGGGGATAACAATAAGATTGGCTTTCCTGCAGCAAGATGTTAAGAAGAATTAAAAGAGACAGAAGCAAGGGATGTCGGTGGGGAGTCTTGATACCTTAATCAGCTTTGACATAAGAAACAAGTAGTAAACTTTGAAGGCTTCAGAGAAAATAATTCTTGCTGCTGTGTACAGAGCAGATTAGAGGGTGAGGATAGAGGCAGAGGGGCTCCCCATTGGGTCTGGGTTAGCCTGCGTGCTTTAGCTGCTCCCATAATGTCCTCTCACCTAGAGTTGAGACCAGAGTGAGCAAGTGAGGTGCCTATCGTGCAAAATTTGGGCTGTCTGGACTCTGACAGTGAACCCTCCTTAGATTTTGTGCCCTAGGGCATCTCACTTGTGTCACTCAAGATCTGACTCTGCCCTCACCAAACCATCCCAAATAAACACATTTTAGCAAGAATGGTGCACTTGCTGTGGAAATGCCATTTGAAAGCAAGCGCCCTGCACTCAGAACACTTACTGGTTAGTGCAAAAGAGTAAGATGTGTGCATGTGGGCTGTTAGTATTGATATTTAGCTGGGGTGGTTGAGGAAAGGTTTCTGAGGAAACACTTGAGCTGAGACCTGAAAGCATTATCCACACAGAGAGGGTGGAGAAAAGCATTTCAGACACATACACAAAAGCATTAAAAAAGGAAACAAAGAAAACAGCTAGTGGAAAGAGACAAAAATGCAGTAGGCTGTAGAATTATGTGTATAATCCTAAACTATTAAAGGAACAAGAAGAGGTGCTACCAAGATCTAGAAAGCACCACACCCTATTTATCGTTATGACTAAACAGATCAAAGGTAATAATGAAAAATGGGGCAATTGGTTACCTTTTTAAGTTCCAAAAAGGCACTACTAAGGTTTGAAATTGTAGATGTAAATATCATATTCTACTGAACATAGCTGGGCTACAACTCCAGACAAAAATGAGGAGAGCAGGAATATTGTTGAAAGGAAAATAATGCATATATAAGAAAGCACATATAATCAAATTACCTAAATAACAGTTGGCTTCTTCCCCCTGCAGGGTTACGAGCCAGATCCCAGTATCACCAAGTTGGCAGAGCAGTATGCCAAGGAGGTATGCTGCTTATATGCGAAATTATAATTGCCTTTCTGTCCCATGAAGTTGTTTAACCAGCATGCTTGTGTATGCTAGGATGGTACCAGGCTGTTGCTGACGAATGATCCATTGGAAGCAGCTCGCGGAGGCAATGTATTAATTACAGACACTTGGATAAGTATGGGACAAGAAGAGGAGAAGAAAAAGCGGCTCCAGGATTTCCAAGGTTACCAGGTTACAATGAAGGTACAAATTGCTGCCTCTCTCCATTCATAAAGCCCAGAACCATCTAATCACTCATTCACTTTGGGGAGAGAAGACTATCCTTTCATTCCCTATAAAGGACTCACTGACTGCATCCCCCAAGGATTTCTCTCCTGAGGATTTGCTGTATCCTTTGGAAAGACACTTTTGTCCTAGATGAAGGAATGTGAAGCTGTTAAAAAAAAAACAAAATGCAACCAAGTAAATTTGAAGATCAAATTGGCTTTAGTAAGTGATTCAGAATTCAGGCTGCATCCCATCTAGCAAGCAGAGAGATGCTCCAAGGAGCTGTACAAAATGGAAGGTTGTTACAGGAAGGAGAGTGAGGCGAGAAGTTATTAGCAAAAGAAAAGAAAGGATTGTTTCAGGACAGGTCGTTTACCCTTAAGAGGGAGAGTAAGGGGTTTTATCATGCAGATTCTCTTATCACCTTTTATTTGGTGGTGAGGCTAATTGCAGCACTGAGGTATTAAGCCCTGGTTTGCTGACTCCTTGCCTAGCAGAAGTGACTCCATTTTGGAACTGTGGTTTTCTTTTTAATAAAACTCAAGCAGAAAAGAGAAGCAAGCTTTTCCTTCTCCCAGCAATGGAGGCATCAGAGTGCTTTACTCTGAGTGTGTTTAGAGACATTAGGTTATTTTTTTTGCATGCAGTTTCTTCTGACTTCTCCTCTAAGAAGAGCCCCATAATTACATTCTTCAGTCCTTGCCTCTATTTTCTAAGGACTCTCAAGTCCACTTTAGTTTTGCTAATTGCCTCCAAGACAAACCCAGGGGAATCCCATCTAATCTGATGCCTTCATCAAGATCTGAAGCAATGCTTCTCAATCTTGAACATGTTTAGAATTGCCTGGAGGAGTTAATACACAGCTGGCAGGACTCCACTCCCCCAGGGATTCTGAATCAGTAGGTCAGGGGTGGAACCCAAGAATCTTCATTTCTACCAAGTTGCCAGGAGATGTAAAGCTGCTGCTGCTCCAGGGTCATACTTTGAGAACCACTGCTATGGAGGACTATTCTAAAAGTTAGGTGTACATTGGGATTTTGTCAGCAGAGCAACTAATCTGTTTTGATGGAGAAAGGGATTAAGCAATTACAATAGATATTTTATTGACAAAGTAATGTATAAATACAAGCACCTTATTTATACATGCCAATAGAGCGAAGTTGGGAAAGTAAAAAGTGAAAATGCCTTTCCTCCATCCCCTTAACAGTGACTATTCCCAGAGGTAGCCACTGTTTAACAGTTTGATGTCTCTTTGCTGACCCTTTCTGTGTAATTTACATATGCCTACACACACACACACACCCCTATCGATTTATCATAAATGGTATGTCAGAAATATTATCCTGACTTTCTTTTCCCATTTAACACATCTTAGATTTTCTTGTTCATTCATTAAGATATTTTTCATTCTTTTTAATGGCTACACAGTACGAGTGGGAAAAATTAAACTATCTCTAACTATTACAATTGCAAACAATGCTGCAATGAACATCCTTATGCATATTCCTTTGTGCAAGAATTACTGGAGAATAGATCCCCAGAAGAAGAATTTCTGTGTGAAGTGGTATATACTTCTTAAAATATGGGAAATGCTGTTAAACTGCCCATCCAAAAAGGATTGACAATTTATATTCCCCCCACATTCTCCATTCTTTATTCACATTTTTAATTCAAAAAAATCTGTAGCTCCTGCTTTTTAAAATTTGCATTTCCCCGATTACTAATAAAGTTAAACATCTTTTCATGTTTATTGCCCATTTCCCTGTCTTTTTCTATAAACTTCTATTATATCCTTTGCCCATTTTCTATTGCTTTTTGCCTTTTTATTATTGGTTATAGGAGTTACTTAAGACTAATCCCTTGTCATATATGTGGCAAATATTTTCATGGAGAAATTTTAAATTTCCTGTGGTTTACCTTACACTTACCTTGACCAACCTTAAATGTTTTCTGGTGCTTTGGACTACAGGCCTGAAGAACAGTCATCTCACTTACCTATGACTGGTTCAAATGTTATTCCTTCCTCATGTCACTTGCCAATATTTTAGAAACTCGGAAAGTTCTGAACTTAGTAATAAGGTAGGAGGTGAAAGAACATTTTAGTACAAAGACAGTAATTTTGAGGTAAGAAATTTTGAGGGAATGTAGTTATGAATCTGTAAGTGAACAATGGAAATGGGTGGGAAAATGTAACTGTCAGGATTTAACTGCTGGAGAAAACTAAGATTGTTAGGACATTTGCATTAAGAATGAAATGTCTAGTGCACAGTGCCCATAATCCTATTTAATGCACTCCTACATCAGTACTCTTTTGCAAAATTGTTTTAACTAGTGCTGAAGTATGCTTCAAGTGCTAAAAACCATAATTTAGAAACAAGCTCAAAATATAATATAATCACATCAAAGCAACTTAAAAAATGTACTGGGGCATAATTGGTGACTTTTGCCAATATTACATAGTAGAGTTATTTACTGAAATGTCCACTATCCCATTAGACAGAGTTCCAGAAAACTGAGTCAGTGGTTTAATCTGGAGTGACGATTCCCCAAATAGCAAAAATGACTTAAAGTTCCAGAAGTTCAAAGGACCATATACATTTCCTATGGGTGTCTTCAGCCTAAACTCTCATTCTGCCCCTTTGTCCCTCCCTTTGCATTGATCGCTGACTCTAGGTCATACGTATTCTTAAATATTGAAGAATATAGATGCGATAGCCACATGTAATATTCAAAACACAGTCTTATCTCCATCTCTTCTCTAGACTGCCAAAGTAGCTGCTTCTGACTGGACATTTTTACACTGCTTGCCCAGAAAGCCAGAAGAAGTGGATGATGAAGTTTTTTATTCTCCACGTTCACTAGTATTCCCAGAGGCTGAAAATAGAAAGTGGACAATCATGGTAAGCAAGAAATGGGGAACGAAGGATAAGAAGGAGTTCTCTGTGTGGCCCCAACTTGGTCATTCATGCCCTTTGGTAAATAATGAGCAACCTAAATTATCCATGTACCTTACTTGCTTATATGGCATCTATTTCTTTCCAGAAAGTTCATAATAGATTGTTATTACTTACTGGAATTTAGAGTGTATTTTTAAAATTTTGGTATCATTAATCTACAATTATATGAAGAACATTATGTTTACCTGGCTCCCCCCTTCACCAAGTCCCCCCTACATACCCCTTCACAGTCACTGTCCATCTGCGTAGTAAGATGCTGTAAAATCACTACTTGTCTTCTCTGTGTTGCGCAGCCCTCCCCGTGTCCCCCACACACTATACATGCTAATTGTAATGCCCTTTTTCTTTTCGCCCGCCCTTATCCCTCCCTTCCCTCCCATCCTCCCCAATCCCTTTCCCTTTTGTAACTATTAGTCCATTCTTGGGTTCTGTGATTCTGCTGCTGTTTTGTTCCTTCCATTTTCTTTTCTTCTCATACTCCACATATGAGTGAAATCATTTGGTACTTGTCTTTCTCCGCCTGGCTTATTTCACTGAGCATAATACCCTCTAGCTCCATCCATGTTGTTGCAAATGGTAGGATCTGTTTTTTTCTTATGGCTGAGTAATATTCCATTATGAATATGTACCACATCTTCTTTATCCATTTATCTACTGATGGACATTTAGGTTGCTTCCATATCTTGGCTATTGTAAATAGTGCAGCGATAAACATAGGGGTGCATCTGTCTTTTTCAAACTGGAGTGCTGCATTCTTAGGGTAAATTCCTAGAAGTAGAATTCCTGGGTCAAATGGTATTTCTATTTTGAACATTCTGAGGAACCTCCATACTGCTTTCCACTAATTTACATTCCCACCAGCAGTGTAGGAGGGTTCCCTTTTCTACACAACATCACCAACATTTGTTGTTCTTTGTCTTTTCGATGATGGCAATCCTTACTGGTGTGAGGTGATATCTCATTGTGTTTTTAATTTGCATTTCTGTGATGACTAGCGATGTGGAGCATCTTTTCATGTCCTGTTGGCCATATGGATTTCTTCTTTAGAGAACTGTC